ACACACACACACACACACACACACACACACACACACACACACACACAGTATTCAGACCCCTTTAAATTTTTCACTCTTTGTTTCGTTGCAGCCATTTGCTAAAATCAAAAAAGTTCATTTTATTTCTCATTAATGTACACTCAGCACCCCATCTTGACAGAAAAAACAGAAATTTTTGCAAATTTATTAAAAAAGAAACTGAAATATCACATGGTCATAAGTATTCAGACCCTTTGCTCAGTATTGAGTAGAAGCACCCTTTTGAGCTAGTACAGCCATGAGTCTTCTTGGGAATGATGCAACAAGTTTTTCACACCTGGATTTGGGGATCCTCTGCCATTGTTCCTTGCAGATCCTCTCCAGTTCCGTCAGGTTGGATGGTGAACGTTGGTGGACAGCCATTTTCAGGTCTCTCCAGAGATGCTCAATTGGGTTTAGGTCAGGGCTCTGGCTGGGCCAGTCAAGAATGGTCACAGAGTTGTTCCGAAGCCACTCCTTTGTTATTTTAGCTGTGTGCTTAGGGTCATTGTCTTGTTGGAAGGTGAACCTTCGGCCCAGTCTGAGGTCCAGAGCACTCTGGAAGAGGTTTTCTTCCAGGATATCTCTGTACTTGGCCGCATTCATCTTTCCTTCAATTGCAACCAGTCGTCCTGTCCCTGCAGCTGAAAAACACCCCCATAGCATGATGCTGTCACCACCATGTTTCACTGTTGGGATTGTATTGGGCAGGTGATGAGCAGTGCCTGGTTGTCTCCACACATAACGCTTAGAATTAACGCCAAAAAGTTCAATCTTGGTCTCATCAGACCAGAGAATCTTATTTCTCATAGTCTGGGAGTCCTTCATGTGTTTTTTGGTAAACTCTATGCGGGCTTTCATATGTCTTGCACTGAGGAGAGGCTTCCGTCGGGCCACTCTGCCATAAAGCCCCGACTGGTGGAGGGCTGCAGTGATAGTTGACTTTGTGGAACTTTCTCCCATCTCCCTACTGCATCTCTGGAGCTCAGCCACAGTGATCTTTGGGTTCTTCTTTACCTCTCTCACCAAGGCTCTTCTTCCACAATTGCTCAGTTTGGCTGGACGGCCAGGTCTAGGAAGAGTTCTGGTTGTCCCAAACTTCTTCCATTTAAGGATTATGGAGGCCACTGTGCTCTTAGGAACCTTGAGTGCTGCAGAAATTCTTTTGTAACCTTGGCCAGATCTGTGCCTTGCCACAATTCTGTCTCCGAGCTCCTTGGGCAGTTCCTTTGACCTCATGATTCTCATTTGCTCTGACATGCACTGTGAGCTGTAAGGTCTTATATAGACAGGTGTGTGCCTTTCCTAATCAAGTCCAATCAGTTTAATTAAACACAGCTGGACTCCAATGAAGGAGTAGAACCATCTCAAGGAGGATCAGAAGAAATGGACAGCATGTGAGTTAAATATGAGTGTCACAGCAAAGGGTCTGAATACTTATGACCATGTGATATTTCAGTTTTTCTTTTTTAATAAATTTGCAAAAATTTCTACATTTCTGTTTTTTCTGTCAAGATGGGGTGCTGAGTGTACATTAATGAGAAATAAAATGAACTTTTTTGATTTTAGCAAATGGCTGCAATGAAACAAAGAGTGACAAATTTAAAGGGGTCTGAATACTTTCCGTACCCACTGTATATATATATACACATACAGTATCCATACAATTTGGCTCTGTGCTGATTCACTGAAGCATCAAAGCTGCAGGCTGCCTTTAGAAGTCTATTTGAAGTGCCTCAAGAGAAAAGAACGCAGTGTGCAGCCTGTACTTCTCCTCTTTCACTGTCTTCGGATATTTGGTTTGAGTGAAGAAAGACCTAATCAAGAAAATCTACCTGCTTACAGATGAGGTGCTGACTTTTGTGTGTGTGTTAAAATGAACTGCACAATGATTGCTTTGGCTTTACAGTCGTCCATACCTGCGCCATGGTGTTAACAAGCTGTTCAAATTCGTCACATGAGGTCTTGCCATTGATGAGTATAGAAGCTGATACGTCTGAGATGGCAACATGGCCGCCATTGGGTTTGACTGCTGCATCGTGATCGCTGCGGTCACTCCCACTCGATACTGGGACACTCTCCTGGAAAAAGTAAACACGTGAGTGTGTCACGTTGGAAATTGCAGATGTGTCACTGACTTATTATTCTAATACGCATTTTCAACATAATAACTAAATATAAATGTGATGTTGTCTGTTGAATTTCAGCAAAAATGCACCTGCAGAGAGCGGCGATTACTGGCGATAATCCAGCCAAAGACAATTAAAAGTCCAAAAAAAATCATCATGATTTATTCCTCCTGTGGATGTAAGCATTCAGCAAGTTTAATTTGAGACACCAAAACGCTGAAGTCCGGGTGTCTAAACCACTGGGATGACGGATAGTTTGTTATCCCACAATGATTAGCTGGATCTATGGCAGCCTAATCCTTCAGGGTATAATGGCTCTTAGCTGATGTTCCAACAATCACTAGTAGGCTCCAAATACAATATTTCTATGATGGTAAGGGGGAAAGCATCACTGGCCATCTGGATGCCTTACTAGGCTTTGCTTTTAATTACTGCAATGACTTTACTTCTGTGACAGATGAATTACATGAACGAGACAACTACATAAAACCGGGTTTTTCCAATTTCATTAGCCAAAGGGCATAATGTTTATGGCCATCTGAACTGGATTTAAAAGGACGGATATAGCACACAGCGATCATTTCATAAACACTCCATTTGGCATATGGCATCGCCGAGCTAAAGCTGTCCTTGTGAACTGCCGCATTTGCCTTTTGGGAAGTTGACTGCACAACTTTCAGCTTCGGGAGCATGTACTGTAAATTATGCCTCCTTTAAATACAGTCCCTGCAGTCCTTGTCCTGTCCAAACTGCATTGGACAGGACACATTAGTGCTGCGACTGCAAACACAACCCTATGGGTCGAGCTAACGCAGCATAGCATGCTGCTAAGTTGCTGTCCTCATGCACAAGCTTTGTTAGCTGGGGCCTGGCTAAGAGGATTAAAGTTCCAGTTTGGTTCTTGCACATTTAAGAAATTGTTTCTGCCCCACTTCATACAGTGGCCTCTTTCTCATTGGAGAGCGGGGCCTGGTCGCCATAGCGACATGGGCTGTGCAAGGCCTAACTAGCAGAGCCAGAAGACAGACAGAGTGTGTGTGTGTGTGTGTGTGTGTGGCTCTTGTCTCACAACAAAACACACCCTCTCTCCAAATTGGTTCTGCTTAAGGGGGACAAACAAGTGCAGTTGGGTTCGGAAGCTCTATAAAAACAAAACACCGGCTTGTTGCAGATTCTGAGATGTGTCTCTTTATCGTTTTTAAACAACATGGAATCGGTCCATTTCAAAATCTGAAGGGAATTTGTGATGAATGGCTGCTTGATAAATGTTGCTTAGTGAAACAAACGCATGCATCAGCAAACACAGACTCACACACACGCGCACATAGAGTAGGCGGAATGTACCTCTTTTGAAATAAGCTGAATCACCAGCACACAAAAATGCCAGCACGGCCTTTATAATCTAAATTCCACAAGGGGTAAAAAAGCTTGAGCATCCCTGCCTCCCACTGCATAGCTGGAATATTTTCGTCTGTATTTCTGAAACACTTACCCTGGCCCCTTTCCACTGTGACTTAAGAGCTCTTTCCCTCCACTCAAATGTTCTATTCTCCATGGAGAGAATCAGCTTGAAAAAGAGTTCCTGACTTAGACCAAGTATCTCTGCTCGTGCACCCATATTATTTCTGGCTCGTGTGAACCCTGACAGCAATTTGGCCACAGCAGCAACACTATTGGGGATGGGGGATTTAAGGGGGTGGGGGGTGAGCCAAAAACAGAATCAGTGAGGTCACCCAGGGAACGGGAAAGATAAAGGCACTGGCAATTGTGGAGGGCATAGAAAATATTATGTATAATACAGGTAATGCAACGGTTTAAGTTTGTTTACATTGTGTGCAAGACTCCAGCACTTGTCGACACTAACACAAGAGCTATGCCTGTCACTTTATATTACCCCTGCCTCAGCCCCAGCTCATCCAACATCATGATAATAAAAAATAGACGGACAAGCTCTTATTCATCATTAAACATGACCACTTCTGTTTATATTACTTCTGTGCTAACAAAGTATGATGCTGCCATCTGGCATTTTGGCCGTTTGTACTCATATACTGACGACGCAGAACTCTAAATGACCATAACCTTCCACGGGGCCTTGGAACCCTGGGAACCCGGCATCACTCATTTGTATGCAGCATTGTCATTCTAATTGAACACGTTCACAGTCTCAAAGGCCCGGTGAGGCTTAAAACAATGAATACTGCATTGTTTGTTAAAACTTGTAATCGATTAAATAGTCCTGTCGTCGTGCTTATTGGATTATTATGAATACCTGGACATAAAGTGCATACCGTGACATCATTTTCAGTTTACCTGGTCTCTGAGATGCTGGACAGACTTCTGCAAGGCCAGGATCTGGTGGAAGAGGGGGCTCTGGAGCACTGATTTGAGCAGGCTGAGCTTCTCCTCGGTGGGCACCTCCCCCCGCTCCTTCAGTTTGGCCTGGAGACGCTCCACCGCCTGCAAGGCACGCTGTGTATCTGTAAGCCGTCGCATATTTCAGTGACAGCACCGGCCGGATCGAAGGAGTGGACGCGGGGAGAAGCAGGCGTGGTGGAGAGAGGTGATGAGGATAGAGGCTTTATCAGTTCATGGGCAGAGATAGTGAGACCGGGGAGGGGTGTTTGGACATAGGCACATGTATTCATTTAAATTTCATTTATTTTGAATAAGATATACCATATTCCATACCTTTTAACATATGTCTTTATGCTTACAATGACATGTAAATAAGCAAGGTGGAAGGAAGGAATCGCATAGCATCACGTATGTCTTCAGCATAGAAATGTTTCCTTTTTTTTGCCTTGAGGGTCAATGGTGGGTTTCACAGGAGCATTGAATGGGTATCGGCAGGACAAGAAAAAAGAACCAGACCCCTCCACCGATTGCTTGCTGGACCCAGCATAAGCCCACAATGGAGCAACTCCAAAGTGGCTTGTTAGTGTGGAAGGGCCAGCCCAACGTCATCTGGACAAAAATAAAGCAATTTCCGAAGCTCACCAACGGTGACTAAAACCGAATAGGGCGTGCACAAGGTCCAAAGCACTTTTTGCACTTAGAAGCTTTGTTGTTCGAACAAAGGACGTAAACAAGCCAATAACACTGGGGTCGCAGCGAGTTGTTTTTTTTCTTCTGCTCGCCACTTGTCCTGTATCATTTTCAATGCCCCCACCTCAGTTAGCATAATGAAGAGCCCCCCCCCCCCCCCCGAGCGTGGCATGTATGTGTGTGTCCATCTGTTTGCATTTGCGTGTGTTCCAAAAGACAGGGTGGTCCTGGAGCAGAGCATAAGGATGACACTATCAAAATTTAAGTCCTAGTTGGAGTCATTGAAAACGTATCACATTTGATATTGAATTCTGTACTTTCAAATACACTTTATTTTTAGTATGAGGTAAAACTTCTATAGAAATAATTTTAAACCGAGATTGAATTTAGAAAAATGCCTTTGAGGTCCTATCCTTGGTCATATTGTCCACCTATGTAACAATATATGCAAACATTGTTTCTTACAAAAACTCTATTTCTTTATATTTTTATTTCAATCACCTTTTCTTCCTGTAAAACAAAATATGACGTGTGCTTACGTAAGCTGGTACCTCCAATTTCAACCAATAATATCATGACTTCCATCCATCAATCAATCTGATTGATCAATCTGATCAATCTGTAACATTTAGCGGAAAGGGAGGTGTGTGTGGAGCAAGGGCTGGGCGATATGGCCAAAACCCTCCATCACCATATAGGTCATTTCATAACGGTATCTGTCACGATATAGCATGTTTTCAGGTAAAGCCTATTTTGTAATGCTTGACAAATAAAAACTACTGATTATGTTCTTAGATGAAATAATTCACAATATCTTGATAAAGGATTTCATCACAATACAATTCCATTGAAAGTTGATCATTATCATATTGAATTATTGCCCAGCCCTATGTGACGCCACAGTCATCAGTACTCTTGGTTGGACATACAGTAAGTATATGGTCAACATGCCAGTCTTGAGAGTGACCACTGATTGTAGCTTTAAACAAAATAAGCTGGCAAGCACCAATTTGGCTCCATGTTTGACAGTTGGGACACATACATCTCTATGGGGACAAACAAACAATCAAGTATATGGCAACATAATCCGATATGGCAGCATTGGCGGTCCCCCACGCCTTGAACTGAATCCAGTGCCTCTTAACTGTGGTTGAGAGAAACTCACAGCAGAAGCCAAAACACGGATGCTGAGCCAGCAAAGATGGACACCCGATTGACAAAACTAAACCCTTCTCCAAGAAAAACACTTATCTAAGAAATTAAGATTCAAATTTAAAAAGGCACAGTTAGTGTGTGGAGGCAATATATTTCATGTTTGTCTTGTTTATTATGGTTGCAATGAATCTTAAATAAGTTGAGCATTTGGTATAAAAAAAGTGATTACTTACCCATTGTTTCTATCATTTTTTGAACTCCAGTTGAATGCGGTTTCTCCCCATCAACAGCAATTTCAAACGTACCCCTTTTTCAAGGCCTGCAAAGAACAACACATGTTGTAGGTCTTTTTCTTTCAGCTAGGATGGATAATGTACTTCAGAAACCTTTTTTGGCATATTTGTTGGAATTCTTATTACAGACCGACAGTAATCAATGAATTCAAAGCTCTAACATATAATGTAATAAGCCCATAAATGTGTGCTAACTCTTGCTGGTTTCGCCAATGTTGCCAACACCAGCTTTAACAATCAGACAACTGAATAGCAAGCCACAAAATCCTTTTTTGTATACTTCCACAACACACTTGATCCAAACAGGAAGTAAGAGCTGGAGGGCTCATTCTCCTCTGAACCAGCCTCTTGGAAACCTCTCTACTCGAAAAAGTCGACATGAAAGAGAAAATGGATTTATTTCCATTCCATCAGGGTCATAGTTATCTCTTAAAAATGCTTCATCATAACATCACTGAGTAACCATTGTGCTGAAGAACTGTAGGCTATTTACTCAGTCCACAGCGCAATGGTGTAGCCTGTCTGTTTAAGCACACATCTACTGTAGGTTGTTCGTGTCCGTATATTTGACTAATGCTCTTATTGATGGATCATCAATTTGTAATTTACATTCATTCAGTGCACTTTGGCAGTAGTAGTATGCACGACATGTCTGCTGCCAGTCAGCAGTCTTTTAAGACCCTACTTGCGTGATAGCAGTGCAGCAACAATTATTTTTTTAATCATATATTAATCTGCGGATTATTTTCTCAATTAATCAACTAATTGTGTTATCTACCAAATGTCAGAAAATAGTAAAAAGTGCCCATAAGAATTCCCCACAGACCACGGTGACCATGACGTCACCCATTGGTTGGTGGAGCACAGTTTTGATTTATATGATGTAAAAAATCAAGTGAGAAGTAGGGTTATTTTATCGTAGACTTCTACAGAGTCAGACTTCTTTTTGCAAGGCCAGAGATTTTTTTTCTTCTTACAATCAAAGTTTATATGGACTTTTATCTTTTGTACTATTTGGCTCAAAATATATATAAGATATATTGAAGGTCCTCATTCTTTCATGACCCACCGTAACGTCATACATCTGATTTATATACTGTGCGACAGATCAGTAGACTATACACGTAAACATGTTGCCATTTAATTACTTGTGGTACACGTATTTGTCACATGTTTGAATCAGAGAAGAATCAGTGAAGCATCGCACCTTTGAAGACAAATGATAACGTATGAAGGTGTTTTTGTCATGGCCATCAACTCCCATCTTAGGAACGTCACACTCGACTAGTGGTGGCTTTGTTACAAGCATGACATGACTCTGGGAGACATTACACGATTAAAGGAGATTGGTAAGACAATTAAAAGCCATATATAGAATAGCTACAGTACATGTGGCAACAGGATCACCACAGCACTGGTTTCTATATGTTGTAAGCGTGGTATGTGGCTGCTGTGTATGTTATTTATCCAACAACTATGAATTAATTGGATGCATTTGTTGTACTGGTGTAAAAAATAAACTTAGTTTTGATTAATTCATACAGGCTTATGCTTCAATTGTGGTCTTGGGCTTTAGCAGTCTGTCTATGTAAGTGGGTTTATATGTTTTCTTATGCTATTACAGTAATATGGCTTTAATAATTATAGGTGTTGCTTTCAGGGACCTTAAACACATTGTCCTTTCAAATGTATTGGAGGTATATGGTTCATATTCTTAAGCAAGGGCAGAAGTGATTCACTCTTTAGGTTGCACATATCCAGTTGCTCGTAATGATTCACAGAAGGCCTACGGAACTAATTAGCTCCTGTTACACGGTGGACTTCAACCAAAATAACAACAACGGGAGCTTTACGGCGGCATTTATCCTCCGAAAATAGTCGTTGGTGAAGTCATGCGTGAGCTTTGCCGTGGCCACAAATAGCTAATAACGGCGTTGTCACGTTATCGCGCAGCTCTTCTCCAAAACAATAGGAAACGTCGGCCGAGAACGTATACCCATTTAACATGTATTAATCTTAATAAAGCGCTTGCTTCGACAGAAGTATGTGTAAATCCAGTCAGGTATTGCTCGTATTTTTGAATAAAGTCGCCAAAGCGTTCGGGACAATCCGCTTTTCTCAACTCCTCCTCCTCCTCCTCCTTCCCATCTCATCCAGGGAGCACAGCAACAGGCTTCCGAGAGGGAGACGGTGAAGAAGTTGCACAGTATTGCTGGTTTCGGGTTTGCAAAAAAACGCCTACGGTGGTTACTTACAGGGGCGGGATATAGTTTCAGCTTAAAAAGAAACACTAAAAGCAATTTTAATCCCGTCTTTCTTGTTTGAGTACACCACCGCGACAACAGGCGTCTCCGAATATTTCCCCTCTCATTAGCAACATTGTAGCTTGCAAAACGACTCTTGCCGAAGCTGAAGTTGTTGTTGTATTTAAAAAAAAAAAATCTTCAATAACATTTCCTCGAGCGAAACATGTCAGAAAATAACCACTTACATGAGTGTGGAGCGTTTACCGTCCCGGTCGCCGGTATCCTATCCTATCCTCTTGTTGTCCTGCGGCTAACGGCGCAGTGCCACTGACTGGGGCTTAAAGATGGGGCGTAGTGTAACTCGATCCTCTATGGACATTTTCGGCGATAGCGGAGCACAGAGAGCTGAGCTGGGACAGAAGCGCCGCTTGCTGGTGGGACAAGGCCTGAGACGTAGGGCCTGTGTGCCAGCTCCAGTGCTGAACAAGGCCAGGATTGTCAATGCTTGTCCCAAACTGGAATGTTCTAACGTGGATATTGGATGTTTGTGATCAAATTTAATTAATATTCAGAGCAGATTTTTTTTCCACCTATAGTGCTGAAGGATAGTAAATATCACTGCGGAGTTTCTCACAGTCTCTCCATCTCTGCTTTTGACCTAATGCACATCAGTGTCTTTTAATGTGCACTGCTCAGTTTAAGCACAAGCAGTAATAAACTGAGATATAAACATCTAACTTGTATACCTATCACCAAGACTGCTGGTTTACCAAATGGCTTACTTCCCCATGGCCCAAGGCACCCAGGGGCCCTAGATGAAATATTGTAGTCAGCAGTGTGCACTTAAAGGTACTCTGTGCAATATTTAGAGCATTGATATAGCAGCAAACTGGCCGTGTGTGTCTGTTAGTGAATGTGTGCATGCCCCACCGGTTGGCTTGCGTCCGCCGCTCAGCCCCTGCGCTCATGCAGCGGTTTCAAGCTGATAAAACCGACCGAACCCACCCTCCGGTTTCCCCTCAGGTTAACACAGTTAGCTCTGTCAGCAGTGTTCTGCTGTAGTTTGCAGAACCTTTTAAGGATAACTTTTTAACACACAGGTTTGTATGACACAATGTCAAAACCATGCTGTTTTGTCAAAGGTAACTGAATTAAGTCCTTGAAAAGATAGCATTTGAGGACACTTGGCCTGTGTAACCCATAAGTGTCACGGATGGAGTAGTGCACTGTTTATACACCCTTGAGCAAAATATCATGGTCTGTATCTTAAATATAGGCCTATTATAAAGGAAGAATAATACAGCTTTCATTCTTTTTAGACATACTGGAGTCATGAAGGGCAAATAAGTAAGAAAGCAGACCTGAATTCTTCACTGTTGGCCTATTACAAACATTGCTGCAGGGTATCCATTCTTGGCAGAATCGACACAAACTGGTGTTGTGATTCAGATTCAATCAGCATCTGATTAACACCATCTTTGGTGAATCAGGCCCATGGGACGGGCAAGATTCGTGTGGTGCATCCTGATCATATACTCATTTACACATTTAGTTTATCTATAGACCACACACCAAATACTGTAATACCGTACAAGTAAGATATCATTAATACTCCCACATCTCGAACACAGTTAATGCTGACACCCACAGCAGTATGCGTAAGAGACTAATAGGCATTCAAGTGCAATAAGCAATATATGGTGTGATTTTGATTCCAAGAGGAAAGGAGAGTATTTTTAGGCCCAGGAAGCACCTTGGAAAAGGACACGGCATCCTGATAGAACCAGAATTCTCTGCCTGTGTCCTGTTTACAGGATTATGCACTCCATTTCAGGCGGCAATGCGCCATGCTTATCAAATTTGATATGAGCTGTTACTCGAAATGAAATGTATCAAATGCCCACTGGGATAGAGGCTGTTGCCTGTTTTAAGACATGACTCAGATCCAAAAGCACCAAAATAGCAATGCTCTGATTATATTTGCATTGTTGTTCCCGTCACTGTAAAGCGAAAGAGAAGGTCTGTGTCACAGGTATTGGTTGGTCAGGTAGATGCCACCGAGCTGTTGATCTGCCCTATGACCCTGAAGAACTTTTACCTTTCATGGATCAAGACCCCCAGAGGGGAGCAAGGAAGGTCACTGTGTAAGAAGTCATTCCAACAAGGGAGAAAGGGATTCAAGCTGCTTTCAGAGAGCTGATACTGACTAAATCCCTTCACCATTTCTATCTTTACTTCTACCTCCCTCTTATCCACCCTAAAACTCCCCTTGTACTTTGACAATAAGCCACTTTTGTGTGGGAGGTCTGACTCAGCCAAACGGTAAAAGAGACAAGAGATTGAAACAAGAAAGAGAGGAAGAAAAAAGATCTCAGCTCGGTACTATAGGCAGCCTCAGCGTTTTGTATTTTTATGCCTGCCTATCATGAGCCCTCAGCAATAGCCATTGTTTGAGACCGCTTAGTGACACCAGATCTGTGGTAACTGGATGCAAATCTGCTCATTCTTAGGTGGAGGTTTTCATTTCATTTGTTCATTTCATTAACCTTTTTAAATGGACCAATTCAGCCTAAGTTAAAGCGGAAGCCGAATAGGTCAATTGGTGTATTTTGTGTCAGAGAATACACCAATTTACCTGATATGTGGCGGCCACTGTGAGATGTTGTCCATGACTACAGGTGGAACTAATACCATTAACGAAGGCACTGCCCCGCTTAGTATAGCACACCCAAACAGCAAGCTGTCATCATCAATGCTATTAGAAACACCTGTGTTTGA